GATTACTTTTACCGATAAAGCTGATCCAGAAATACAAAGACTTCTTGAATTGTTGAAGAAAGAATATAAACAAGAAAGCTGATCTCTGAACATTGACAATGTACTTATTTACCAGTAACAAGGTCTAACAACATTCTTCAGTTGACAGGGAAAATAGTTTCAAACTTGCATTATTCAAATTGTTATAATTCTAGTAGATTGATTTTATTCAGCGAAACTTCACTGTATGTTTAATGTTTTTGTGACAGAATTAATAAAGCTCGTTTACTTGAAAGTAAGCTTAGTCTACGAGTCAGTTTTCTAATAGTTGAATTCTTAGCACCCCGAACAAAAGTCATTATTGAAATGTTTAAACACTCACCTGTACCTCAAGTGAAGTCGAACAACTTTGGTTTTCCTACTGCACAATGAACAGCGTCTGGATAAATGGGCAATTTGCCCAAGACCTCCCAGTCAAAGCGCAAACTGCCGCTACAAAATGTAAAAAAAAAACAACAGCAAAAACAATTTATCGGCATTCCACTGAGAAACGGTTATATAGTGAATTCTGAATGAATTCTATAAGGATCAAATAAACAAAGCAATAATTATAACATTAGAAGCAGCCAGACCTAGTGCTTTATCACAATTGACAATAAACCTGTTTTATAATTTACGCTCTAAGTATTTTAAAAGCAGTCGTTTCAAAAAGTCTTCAAATTTCGTCAAGGTATAAATACTAGAGTTAGGCACAAAAACTGTACATGATGGTGGCGCTTCCTTGAATAAGTACTAACCTTACACAAGAATAATCGATTTCAGTGAACAAATTTCCAGTTAATAAATAGTACAGATCTGTGGAATAAATCAATTTGCTTGAGTGAATAAGAGATGTATTTTTAAATGATTTGAGAAACACAAAGCTGTAATTAGTGTGTTTATACATTCTTACCTAAAAATGCTTCAAACAATGAAGAAGAATATACCAAACTCAATTTTTTAAACTTGATGACGCTCACTAACAACCATTAGCCACGTACCATAAAGGCGGTTGCCGGAATGGACAGATTGCGCTCTCGGGGGCTCATTCCATAGCGCAAAGCCGTATGGGTAAATATTTCAAGTCTACATAGTCACCCAGCCTTTGTTAGAGGTACGGTATATAAACCCTAACAAGAAAAAGCCCAGGGAGGGGAGGGTTCCTTGTAATTTATTTTCAGCAGGGAGGGGAGGGTTTCCAGCAATTTATTGACAGTAGGGAGGGGCGGGTTCCCAGCAATTTATTGTCAGGAAATAAATTGACAGCTAGGAAAGGTATACATGAGATAATTAGCCAGCTAGAAAGGTCATGGTCTTAAACTCTTAGCCAGGCTACATATCAATTCAATTTTCCTAGCCAGGAAAGAAAACCCCTGGGGAGCGGATATTTGTGTACCGGATCCGGTTGAGCACTCTTGATTCTTGACGTCGAATGTGGCGGCCTTACACGAACAAAAGTCCTAAAGAAATCAAAAATCACATCATGTAATGTTTCAAAGTCTCGTAAACAATATTAACAATTATCTCCCTCAGCTTTTGTGGAAAAATTTGGGTCAATTGATATGTGTTTTATATTTTTCGGGAAGTTTTTTGGTAGACGGCATCGACCCCTTTTCGCGCGCTTTTCTTTGACAATTTTGGTGATTTTGTGCAAGAATTATCTCTAAAATGAAGCCGGTGACCTCCACTTTTTTATCGCTTTTTTGCAAGTTTATKTCATCGCGTATTTCCCCAAAAAATTTCATCGAATTGACATCACGGAATCCAATGCCAATGAACGTCCTTAAAAACGACGCATCGAAAAGTATTTCGAATGGATATTTGAATTCTCCTCATTCTCTATACATGAAAAATCATAAACTTATCATTGGGCCGCAGTTGAATCCTAGTGCATCATGGCCTTTGATCGTCTAACAACAAAATTCATTCATGTTTTATTTTTGCTTTCAATCAGTTAAATTTTATGGAATATTTCTAATTAGCAAACGCGCCTTTKTCTACAGGGCTTTTGAATCTACGAGGTTCTGATATATCGTACTCCCCGGTTTTTTTCTCCTATGCCATTGTAACATTGAAAAAAGTAGTGTAAGTATCATGATTTATATCTACTGAATTTAAGCGTCCTGTTGAGAAAATCTACGGTCGGCTTTGCCTATTGAGGTCTTGGTAGAGCAACTATGTATTGAATACATACAATAATAATGATGATAACAATTGTCGGGTCCAAAAGGTGCTACAACTGTTGTATATAGATTCACAAATAACATACAGCCGCAGTCAATGCTGTAGGGATGACTTTAGCATGGTTGTCCGCAAATGTTGTTTCGTAAGCCTACACCTCGTATCGGTGGTGGTAGTAGCCGCACCGGGTCGCAAAATATGATGTAATCAAAGCTCACACCGAAGGGAATTTAGAAATTCAAAMAAAATTTTCCYTWMC